CGATTTGTAACAATGACATGTGCTATGTTTATGGGAAATTTTGTAGAAACAGGATGAAAACTAAAGAAATTAAAGCACGTTAGCGCTTTGGCATGCATTTTTGTCAGACGTGACTAGATTAAATTAAACATTTTCCAGTGGATTGCATATCCCAGACCATATAGATTTGAGTTGTTGGAAGGCTCGGCTAAACAAGTTAGGGGGTGTAGGAAGCAGGGGCAACGGGTCCTCAACCCAGTGTTTTATAAGGAGGGGGAAAATAATGTTTGCCCCCACCAAGAAACCCCAATTGATTTCGAAACTATTGAATATAGAAACTATATATATATATATATATATATATATATATATATATATATATATATATATATATATATATATATATATATATATATATATATATATATATATATATATATATATATATATATATATATATATATATTTGCCGTCGGCAACGGCAAATTATGGACAAAAAAAGACGGAAGCAACAGTTTATTTGACGTCACTATGGGTAGTTTCGACGGCGCTGAAATTTGTGAGCTGGTAGGCCTTTTCATTTTAAATCACTTAGGTAAGAGGTTTGGCAAGGAAAACATCGGACTTTATAGAGATGATAGTTTGGCTATTATAAAAAGCAAATCCGCCCGTTTACTAGACAAAACTAGAAAAGAGCTACACAAAATTTTCGAGCAATTTGACCTTAAAATCACCGCCGAAGTAAATATGAACGTTGTAAAATTTTTTAGATGTTACTTTCGACCTGATCAACGCAAAACACAAACCATACAGGAAACCCAATGACGGTCCATTGTACATCCACAGACACTCAAACCATCCACCAAGCATTACAAGACAATTACCTACAGCTATCAACAAACGCATTGCACTTCTCTCATCGGACGAACAAACATTTAAGGAATCCACACCTATTTACCAGAACGCTCTTACACATAGTAACTTTGATCATGAATTTACGTACGCTGAGAATGCACCGCAACGGACACGTAGGAATAGGCAACGCAACATAATTTGGTTCAACCCACCATTTAGTAAGAGTGTTAACACGAACATAGGACGGGAATTCTTAAGTTTAATTGACAAACACTTCCCGCTACAGCACAAACTACACAAGATTTTTAACAGAAACACATTAAAAGTAAGCTACAGTTGCATGAACAACGTTAAGTCTATAATCACCAAACACAACGCACATATAATTAGGAACAGTCAATCACAGAATACGGAAGCTGACAACTGTAACTGCGACAACAAAAACACTTGCCCACTACCGAAACAATGCATGACCAACAACATTATTTACAAAGCAACAGTCACAACGAACAACACGAACGACACTAAACACTACATTGGTATGACGGCGACTACATTTAAGGAACGTTACGCTAACCACACTTCATCTTTTCGTCATAAAAAAGACTCAAACAAAACGGAACTTTCGAAACATATTTGGAAATTAAAAGAAAACAATCAGGATTATACCATCAAATGGTCAATTTTAAAACACGCTATTTCGTACACAGGGGATCAAAACGCTGCAATTTATGTTTGGAAGAAAAATTTTGCATTTTGAAAGACATAAACAAAGACAATTTACTCAATAAAAGAAGCGAAATTTTCGGCAAATGTCGTCACAAAAACCGGTTTCGAGTAAACAAGGTCGTTAACAAAACCTAATGACCCAAGCATGCATTGTTTCACCTAAGCATTGTTTCGCCTACACGCATTCCGCACATTCCTTTCGATAGCATAAAAGCAACCTACAATTTCGAAATTATTCACCACCTGATGATTCCTATACGGATGAAACAGACTGTTGTGGTTTTTTGAGGTAAAACGAAAAACTATATTATGCTCTATCTATATGGTATTGAGCACTGTTTGTGTTTCGTAAAACCAAAATCTTAAGCTATATATATATATATATATATATATATATATATATATATATATATATATATATATATATATATATATATATATATATATATATATATATATATATATATATATATATATATATATATATATATATATATATATATATATATGTTTTTTTTTACTTTGATTGTAGTTAGTGTTATCCTTTCTTGCTTACTAATTGGCCTGTTGACGTTATTTGTGCAAGAGATCGCGGAGTAAGACTTGATTAATTGTTTAGAAATATTTGAAAAAGTTTAATATGGAAGCAGGACATTATTTGTTTTACATACCGTTTCGACTCCAGTATGGAATAATTTTTCAGTGAACAGTAAATAGTACTAATTATGGCTAAACTACAAGTCTTTTACGCATGTGCGTACAGGCCTAATCTTGTTTTGGGGGGGGGCACAGTATTGGATTCACCGAATGCTTTGCATTATGTTGAACCGTACACATGTACAACTTTGTTCGAGATTTTTCAGGGCTTTTTTAAGAATTTTCCCGTGGGGAGAGAATTTCTCGAAAAGAAACCTTTTTATGAGATACAAATTAGGGGGGGTAGCCATGTGGCCGACAGTGGCGGAAATTCACTTTCTCCGCTGGAGGGGTGGCAAAGCCTGCTAAATTTCCTACAAAAATCTCAAATTTCCGACATATCCCTCATTTCCACTCGAAAAGACTGTTTTTAGGCCTCTTTTAGGTCAAAATTTCCGAAAATTCGTCAATTTTCAATGAAGGCGAGTGGGCGGCCGCCCCTCCGCCCCACCAAGATTTCCGCCACTGGTGGCCGACAAACCCTGCATGAATCCCTTGGGGTGTGTGGCTATGCGGCATGTTCCCGCAGAAAACTTACGTTTGAAATTTGAAGCTCGGAAATGTCATTTCCTTCATTCTGAGCGTTCAAGTTTGCTTTAAAATTTATGACGTTCAACTTGAGCTTCCCTTGAGTGTCATTGCTGTTTTTGAATAGCTGGAAGATGAGTAGTTACATAGTAAGGTACGATACTAACCATCCAGCTATTCAAAAACAGCATTAACATTCAAGGAAAGCTCAAATTGAACCTCCACTCTTTGAGTGTGAGCGCGAATGACCTTTTACAATGGGGGCGTTAGTGGTAGAAAAACATATTTAACAATTTAAATCGATTTTGTTTAGCAAGGACAAAGGATAAAGCCAAAACTTACTTTCCGTTTATCTATCTGTTATTATTCGCTTATTTGTTAGAATAAATTTAGGAAAGTGGGACTTTTCTTGGAGGGGATGGCAAAATGTGATTTTTGGGGCACAAGGGGGAATATTTGCCCCCCACCCAGCTTGTATGTTATGTCCCTGGATTTCGTATATGCTTTTAACAAATGAGTGTCATTGTGTAATGGCGCTTTTATTAGCAGACTTTTAACCGAAATGCCTAGAAACACTAAGACAAAAACCGTAAGAACAATATATGTTCAATATGTTCAATGTTTCCGAAATCATCACAATCTTTCCATCATACTACATGTACTTCAAGTATGTTAAGGCAATTAATATTGGCGTTAAATATATTTAATTATTCATTGTAGACCGCGGTTCTTCTTATCAACTTTGACAAGAGTTATATATTTTGCCGGGATAACACATGGATTTTTGCTCAATTGAAAAATTAATTGATTTTTGCTCAATTGAAAAAAATTTGGGGAGGGCCTGGGCCCCACCGTGGATCAAACTCCGGGCCGGTCGATGCGCCTATGCCATGCTTTGCACTATTTTGTCTTGAAACACTAAAAGTAGTGTATAAAAGATTCGTAGTTTTATTAATACCAGCTTTTTAGTCACTTGAACATGGTCTCATGGCGCAGTCTGATCGTCATTATAAACTTATTATCGCTTAGTTTCATCTTAAAATATGTGAAGAAATTAAAATCAATATTAACATAAGTCTTTCTAAACGTTCAGGAGCCTTTTAGTGATTGAATGATTGATGTCAGGGCTTCAAAATGTCATACCTGCGCAAGTCTTCCCGTCTCCTACGAATCCGCTTTTACATTGGCAGAGGTATGAGTCTTGAGTGTTGTTGCAAGTTGCATTTCCGTGACAAGGGAAATTTCCTTCCAAGCATTCATCAATGTCTGAAAAAGTCCAAATATTATAGGCCTTAGAATTTGATCCTCTACTATACCACACCAAACCATACCAAGCCTTACCAAACCATACTGTATCAAACCACACCAAACCATACCACCCCATAGCCTACCACACCGAACTATGCCATAACATACCATATCTTACCATATCATAAAATACCATAACATGGCACATTACACCACACCAAACAATTCCACACCGCACCACACCATACAATGCCATACCATACCATATCATTTACCATACCATACGATACCAATCCATTCCATGCACGCCATACCACCCAATGCACGTCACATCTAATTATACCTTACCGCCCCTTACCAAACTTTACCAGACCAAATCAGAGCACACCACGTAACATACCACTTACCGTTCCATACAACACCAAACTGCGTCACATCAAAAAACAATACCATATCATAACAAACCACACCATATAACTCCATACCTTACCATTATGACAAACCAAAACATACCAATCACGCATGTTTTCATTTGCAATATGATTATTTTCATGCTATTCTCCAAAGCAAGCTTTCGTTCGCAGACTTTATGTTAGCATTATTCATTGTACATTTGTGTGTTTGAAGATGAAAATATTGAGTTGAAGATTATATATAATTTTAGACCTAACCATGCAGAAGCAGCAGCAAAAAATACAACCATATTTATTCTGTGTGTACCTTTTTAACAGTTAGTTCTACCGGAGCGAGATCTACGTGTAAAATCCCAATATTACCCATACACCTTGTATACATTAACTTGTGGTTAGAGCTCAACAACTGGTCTCTGTAGCTCAGTTGGTCAGAGCACTGCACCGGGGTTTTTTGCAGCGCTGGTTCGATTCGTGCCAGAGGCCTAATATTTCCATTTCCAAACGTATACCTTCAAATCCCATATGTATGCCTTCATATTTATTAATATTATTTTAATTACCATTTTGACAGATCTTTCCTTCGTATCCCTTCTTACATAGACAGTTGAAAGGTTTATCTGGATCCCAGATCATTGTTGCACCATTTTGACATTCATTTACTTCTCCTCTGCACGATGCCTGCAAAATAGTTGATTACATCTTCACATGCAAAAATACTGCATGGTGTCTATTTTAGAGACTGACAAAGTTTAAATACGGGATACATTATTTTTTAAATGGTAGATTCGTATTTAAACCTACAATTCGGAATACTGATTCCCTTTCAGTTGAATGTCAAACGCCAAAATCTCCCTATTGCTACTGTATTCGTCTGCTCCGCATTTGGGTCAAGCAACGCGCATATAATTCAATTCATTTGTCTGCTCTGCATTTGGGTCAAGCAACGCTCATACAATTTTGTGTGAACTTGTCAAAAAAATACGACCGCATGTTCAAAACCTCGTCATGTCCAACTTTGAAAAATGGCTACATAGATCTGCTAGAAATTATCAAATAATTTACTAGACCTTTTGCGGTTTCGATATATATGCGCAAAGGATGTATATACATGGATCGAATTTGGTTTTAAAGCTACGTTTACACGCTGCGATTAATCGTGTACGATTTGTTTTCTGGCGTAGGTCATTGAGTAAGCACACGTAAGCTGACTAAAAGCTGGCTACATTTGAAATTTCTTTTTAGCGAAACGGCAATAAATTATGGCGCCAGCACTCTAAAATATACGCCAGTATACGAATCGTACACGATTAATCGTAGCGTGTAAACGTAGCTTAATGGGAGGTATACGCTTTGTCCACAAATTTAGTAAAAAGTATATGTAACTGCTTACCACCTGACTTCGGTCTACATTATCTTTGATGAACGTCCAAACTCTCTTTTTTTTTATGGCATTATTATCAAATTTATGTTGAGTCGTATTTGTTAACTGACAGTTCCATTCATTTCCCTCAGAATTCTCTTTGTAGTTGAATGCAACACAGAAACGGTGTTCTGCGCAATTAAGACCGCAAACCTCATACGTTGGTTCTCTGAATTGAGCGATGATGTTTGTTTTTAAACTAGTCACATCTAAAATATATTAATTTATCCAATCAAGGGTTTCATATGACGTATTGACGTCACGTGAGGGCAAGGGTCCGTGGCGAGTGTAAAGGAGGGTTTTTATGTTGTCTATTTTTTAAAAAAATAATTTGGCTTTTAGACCCCGTTTATACGGTACCGGACGAATTTGGGACTGAAATTTCGTCCTTTTTCTCCTGTTTACCCGCGAATTCGTCAATTAGGGGGTTTCAAATTCGTTCGGTTCGGTGGTTCTCGTGTAAACGGAAGACCAAAACGGACGAATTTCAGCCCGGTTCCAAATTCGTCCAACTAATTAACTAATTTACATAAGATGCGTTGACGGCCATTTTGTTTCATAGCTCTTTTGGTTCACTTCATTTCCATGATTGAGTCAAATTACGCTAAATATCACGCGATTGAAACTATATATTATCTAGTTTCTTTGCACAATTTCGCAGAACTTCGTTTAATTATAGGAAACTGATTTTGCTATGCAATTTTTAAGTGGTTAAAAGCGTACTATATGACTGCATGTGCCTCAATTTCAACCTTTTCGACGATGTTTTAACTCATTCTCAGTAATATATGCTCCATTCAATGGCTTTTGGCTTTCCTTCATCTCATTGAAAATTATCGCTTTTCAATTATCGCTTTTCTTTAAAAAATATCGCTTTTCAAAGACTATCCTTTATATAATATATGCTTGGAAATATATAATATATGCTTATAGAAATATATATTATATGCTGGGGAATACCAGATCTATTTCTCGTATTGAACAAGATATCTCACTCGTTCGCTGCGCTCACTCGTGAGATATAATGTTCAACACTCGAAATAAATCTGGTATTTCCGCGCACCCATGTATTATTCTCTATTTCTTCAACGATAATAAGGGCCATATAAAGAATACCTTGAAAGGTATTAATATAGTTTACTTTCTAACAAACAAGAAACAGACTCAAACTACGAAAGTTCCGGTTGCATGGCAACACTGAGATCAGTGATCCAGTGGAGTTCAGTAATGTTTTCAGTACTCACTTCACAAGCATAGAACCCAAATTAGCGGCTGAGATTGATTCTTAAACATTCGAAAAAAGCATGACTGAAATTCTAAAATTAGTTGAGACGCTTTCTACGCAAAAAGCATTTGTTTTTAGACCGTTGCATTCCACATTGGCTGCATTATATTATTGTACCATTGGTGCTATACTGATGAATGGTATTCTAATATGGACAATGGATTAATTAATAGAATTCTGATCATTGACCTTAAGAAAACTTTTGATAAAATTGATCATAATGTTCTAATAAAAAAGCTCTCGTGCTAAGGTTTCAGTAACAATACTCTTGCCATTTTTCCTTACTATCTTTCTGAACTAACTGAAGTTACTGTTATTAATAATATATCATCATAAAAATGCAGTTTTTATTGTGAGGTCCCACAGTATGGGATCTATTTTGGGAGCACTTCTATTTCTAATATGTATAAACGATCTACCAGATTGTAATTTCAAGTCTGACTGCCGCCTTTTTGTTGATGACACAAATTTAATATAATTCTGGATAAAGACTACAACCAAGCTTTCTCTGCCGCCATGAACAGCAACTTAAATATCCAAAAAAGTTGGCTCGATTCTAATAAACTAAGCTTACACGCTCTTAGAAGTAAATGTATGTTTGCCTATATGTGCACGCGCCACAAGTTAGCAACCATATATAGTCAACCAATAATTCGGCTAATCGACCGATAATGTTAAGCAAGTTAAAACATACAAATGAGCTCTTTTCTTGGGATGAACATATAATCACGATTACCGAAAAAGTAACCAAGGTAATTGGAGCTCTCTGGCTGTTAAAATCATATCTCCCACTTTCAGTCCTCGTCATAATTTATAACTCGTTGATCCAACCACATTTTGATTATTGCAGTAGCGTCTGGGGCAATTTAGGGAAGGTCTTGGAATTCAAGATTCAAAAATTACAAAACAGAGCTGCACGGATTATTACGCGGGGTCCAACTTTAATGTTCGTCCAGTTCAGATTTTGAATTCTATATAAGCTGCAGGGATAACCTAGAGAAAAGACGTTCTTAGAAATTTGGGTCTTATAATGTATAAAACAGTCAACAAAATGATACCCGTTATCTTTCAAGTTTTTTACTTTTTTCCAAATAATGAATTTATACTAAAACAATTATTCACCTCAGGCTCGGTGATTATCGTGAATACAAACCTCGACTTCGTCTCGGTTTCTATTCACCGATAATCACCTCGCCTTCGGTGAACAATTGTCGAATATTCTGTACTTTTGTCATGATTGGCAGTTATCTTTGCATTGACATTCCCCACGCTTAATCTTCCTTGAAATTTCACAGCGCTTATTCCTGCATTTTACAGATAAAAATCCAGACTTATTTTATTACTCTCTCAGATCAAAAGACGAAAAATTCAAAATCTAAAAAAATGTTTCCAATCTTTGTCAATCCTTTAACGATCGGAAGTGAATCGTAGAAAAGTAAAAATCTATTAGTATTTTTTCGAGAGAAATTTGAAACTTGGACTCAATTCTCTTTGTCTTTGAGAAAACACGAGTAATTCATCAGAACGATGTTCCATGGATGACAAATCATCTGAAAGAGTTAATTGTCAAACGCCAAGCAGCCTGGGCATAAGGAAATCAAACACTTTTCAAGTTTTATCGTAACCGGGTCAATAACTATCGAAAGCGGTGTAAGCAACTTTATTGTAATTCGAAAATACGTCATTTAAAGGACAGTAAACCAAAAATGTGGTGGAACGAAGTTAAACGCATTAGTGGTCACACCCCAATGTCTGATAACAAAGATATATTATCCATCCTTGCACTAGAAAATATTAATATTAACGGTCTTTCCCATGATGAAATTGCAAACATTATAAATGATTGTTTTTTGGATCCACAGCAATCATATGTGCCACTTGATGAGTCTGATAAAATCCAGTATGCAGGGCCAGCATCTGACTGTGAATATTACAAGTACACGAATTTGATGTATTTATGAAACTGAAATCCCTTAACGCAAGTAAATCTCCTGGCCCGGATGGACTCCAACCATGGCTACTGAGAGAGTTTGCAGAAATACTGGCCTATCCAATTTGCCAAATTATAAATAATTCATTTCAACAAGGAAAATTACCACTAGGTTGGAAACAGTCAAACATCTCTCCCATTCCCAAAGCAAGTCAAATTACAGATATTAATAAACACCTTCGCCCAATATATCACTAACGCCAATAATTTCGAAGGTGGCTGAGGATTTTGTTATTGAGAGGCAATTTAAACCGGCCGTTGTGGAAATAATTGACAAAAATCAATTTGGGGGTAGTACCAAGATCTTCAACTACAATGGCTTTAATATCTATGATGCACCACTGGTTACAAGCCACTGACCAACCTGGAAATCTAGTTCGCACAATCCTGTTTGATTTCAGAAAGGCATTTGATCTTATAGACCATAAACGACTCTCTGGCAAAATTAAACAACTTAACCTCCCCGCTCCCACAACAAATTGGATCTTGGATTTTCTTACTGGCCGTAAACAGCGGGTAAAATTAACGAACAACTGTTTTTCCCAATGGAGTGAAATTCGCGCGGGTGTCCCCCAGGGTACCAAACTTGGACCCTGGTTATATGTTCTAATGATAAATGACCTGACAACATCTCATAGCGATCCTTGGAAATTTGTCGATGACACAACTATTTCGGAAATTCTTAAAAAAGGTCAGCGTAGTGTAATTCAGTTGGGAGTTAATGAGGTTCAAAACTGGACTGAAACCAACCTGGCCCAACTAAATGAAGACAAATGCAAAGAGCTTAGGATTGATTTTTCTCGGAATAGTAACACCAGTAACACGCTTGTCCCGATATTAGTCAACGGCAAAGAACTTGAAATAGTGAATAATGCTAAAATCCTTGGGCTTACGATTAGCAGTGATCTAAAATGGAGAGTACACGTAGAGACAATCGTTTCTAAAGCCACCAAGAGATTATATCTGATAACACAACTTAAACGAGCAAAGGTCCCGATTGAAGATATTATACTAATTTACTGCGCATGTATCCGGTCGATCTTGGAATACGAATCACCAGTGTTCCATAACTCGTTGCCGAAATATCTAAATAACGAGATTGAGAGGGAACAAAAGCGTTTCCTGAGAAGAATATATCCGAACCTCTCTTATGAGGACGCTATTAAAACCTCGAAGTTAGATTTATTGTTTGATCGTAGAACAGCTGCTTGCCTCAAACTTTTTGAAGAGGCCCAAATGACAGATCATAAATTACATTCACTAGTTCCGGAGAAAAAAGTTTGTTCGTATTCCCTAAGACAATGTAGCAAATTCCATCTACCTCGAATTCGAACTGATCGGTATAAGAACTCATTCATAATCGCTAATAGTCTTCAACAGTAATTTTAATTTTTTTAATTTGTATTATAATCATATATCTAATCCAATTTTTATTACTTGTTATGTACATATTATTAGGTTATTTAGTCACTGTACATCGTATATAATTCAGTTGTTTTATTGTAACTGCAAATTAAGATTTTTAAAATCAATCAATCAATCAATCATATAAACTATCCAAATCATTTTCAAGTTTCAACATCACTGATTTTACCTTCATATCACTGTGACAGTGTCATTGTTGAAATAATGTGTGGCAATTGTGCGTTCTGTTGAAACTCTAGCACTTTTAATTTTGTTGTCATAACTTCTTTAGTGTAAACATAAAACGTTACACTGAAGTCGACCAACTAAAGTTTGTAGAAAAAATACGAAATGGCAGCCATGTTTTTTAACAATATACCATGTGTTACATGAAGTGTAAGGCAGGTGAACTACGTGCTACGAGCCTGCAGTATAGTTTTGAAAACACAATATTTACTTTGAAAATCATGGCAATCAGTCTGAACTTTATGCAAAAGTCTTACTCTCAATTGGAAAATTTCTTGTACGAAAGGGTTCAATATATAATGCATCCTACACGTTTGGTGCTTGCTCAAAGACAGGGAGATGTTATGCCTTGAAGGTACAAAGAAATATGTGCATTTGAATACATATATACTGTAAATATTATAAATAAGTATTTTATGTTATATAAGTATTGTATAGTATGCTATATTATATGTTATACTATATTTTACTATTTTATATAATATATTATGGATATTTTACTTTGCAAATCATGTTTAATAATCCATCTTTATATGTTTTCAAAATAAATTATGTTATTTATCAATTGGGAAGTGATTTAGCCACCCACATTTCCCATTTTTGGCCTCGACACCTTCTTTGACAAATGTCGGCAAACGTCCGGATAACTTAATTTTCAGAAAAATTTTCGCAGTCATGACGGCAGAGGAAAAATATTAAAAGTCATGAAAGCACAGGCAAATGGGATCATTTGTTTAGGAATGACGGATAAATATTTCTAAGGGTGC